GTGTGTGTGTGTGTGTGTGTGTGTGTGTGTGTGTGTGTGTGTGTGTGGGGTGGGGAATACGAATGAAAGGCTGGTGGTTCTTTTCTGTCCCTTCCCTGACCTTTTGAGGTAACCGTGGTGCCAGTGTAACTCTAGCCCCGCTCAGGGCCATATGGGACTACTCGGCACAGGAAGGTAGAAAGCATGAAGCAGAAAATAACAACAGTGCAGGGAAGAGAGAGTGAAAGGATAAAACAGAGAGAGAGAGAGAGAGAGAGAGAGAGAGAGAGAGAGAGAGAGAGAGTGGTGGAGATGTAAGAAAACAAATATCAGCTAGTTACTTAATAAATTAATCTCAAATATGCACCGAGTTACCAGTTCATTAGGGACAGCCATATAAGTTTATATGTTGATTCTGCGCTAGTATCAGTTCAGCTTGTACTGAAAGTGTTTCTAATTTTTTCCTTTCAAATTGACACACTACACACGGGAGAACTTAATGAACTGGTAACAGTTACTTGGACGATGGGTGACATTCCTCACCTTCAGGGTCTCAGTGTCCCAGACTTTCATGGTCTTGTCAAAGGAACTGGAGACAAACATGCCCGTGTCATAAGGATACCACTGGACCGTCTCTACGCTGAACTTGTGGACATACCGATTCGACCTAAATTTAAAAAAATAAGAATAATAAAATGTGACCAGATTAATACAAAACTTCATAGACACAGACCCACCCTCACCCACCAAGTATGCTCAAAACACAAAAATGCAATAGCTTACACACATATATATGTAAAGTATACATATATAAAGTAGTCTAAATGAATCTGACCTGTGCAGATGATGAAGCTATATTCACATTGCAAACCATGATGCTACACTCTCCTGTAGCCCTGTACAGCCATGTAGGAGCATGCTTTCAGGGAGCAACAGTAAATACATTCTGATATCACAGGTCAACCTCAGGTCACATTGGCACAAGTTAAGATCTGCATCAGAATCAGAGTGTACACAATCATATCTGCTCACATTGTTCTGCTCACATTACCATTAAAAATGACTGACACGAGTAACCAATAAAATAAGAAACATTCCGATCCAAGCCCTTTCATTTAAAAAGTGTGTAGATTTAAGGACACGGCTGTGACGGTACTGTGAGAACTCGATGCAGTGCTGCCCTCCAGTGGACAGAATGAGTAAACAGCGTAACGCTCACCTGCCTACTGTGCAAACTGCCTTGCAGGCGTACTGTAGTTTCCCACTGTAGTTCTCCAGGTCATAGATGACGATCACTCCGTCCGCTCCACCAGACAACATGCTAAACAACGAGAAGGTTGACTTCACAGATAGCATTGCTACTCTTCCTCCTACACAGCTGCCACATTTATTTCTACCAAATTATGAGTGCCAGTAGTTCTCTATGAAAACTTCAGGCATGTGGATTAATTAATCTCTTTACGTTTTTTCCAAATGTCATTTCCCCATGCTTCGTGTAGCCAAAACCTAAATGCCATTCACCCCCACTGTACCGACCTCTTATCACAAACTTGTGTCCAAGATTGGGATGTAATTAATAAATCAGTAACAGTAAATTCCCACTAGGATTGTAAAAGTATGAGATTTTCACAATTAGATATTCATATCAGAAAATATCACTGTTTCACCGCTATTATTAATAGTATTGTGAATATTACTATAATTAATATTATTGTTTATAATATTGTTATTATTAATAAAATAATAATTATCAGTTACATTGACCCTTAAAAGAATGAGAAAATAATTATAACAATAAACAGAGATATTAATCTGATCAAAAAATAGCATGTAACATGTTGGCAAGTTTAAATGAACTACTAAATAAAAAACAACAGATATGAGCTTATAAATAATGTATTATGAATTAATAACAATATTAACATATACTGTAGGTGCCCGACAGACTGCTTGTACCTTTAACACACACACACACACACACACACAGTGTCTTCAATACAGTAGATAATCAAATGTACGCTGTATGATAACCGTCAGTATTGATACCGCGGTATACTGTGTTAACCGTTACAGACCTATTCAGGACTAAGTGTACTTACTATCTGCCTTCTATTACTTCAATGTCGATGGTGTTGATGCCGTTTCCATGGATTCTGTCCACCTCTCTGTCAGGATTCAACGTGAGACTCAGGACCCTTTGAAGATAAAGAAAGAAGAAGAGATGAACGTTACTGGACAATCTATTAATCCATATCAGACGTTAAAGCCCTGGTGCATTATTGAAATAAGGTAATAGTAGAAATGGGACAGCAAAAAGACATCACAAGTGTTGCTAACACAAAATAATCAGTAAGCCAATCCATAGAAAGTTAACTGTTGACAAATTCGGATATTTCGATAATCACAATGGTAATTTATTGAGTGACTTTTATAAACATTAGCTAGTAAAAGTTTCTCATTGTATCAACTTGATATAGCCTCAAATTAGACTCCATATTGAAATGTTAAGTTTAAGAGCTCTATGAGAAGTTATCTTAAGTATGACTATGCCGCGAGACAGCAGTCGTTATTCATTTTCCCTTCCGGTTGAGATACAACAACAAATATCCTCTCTCACCTTCTCGTTGACTCTGCACGTCTCAGTCGCAGAGGGTCGTCCAGACCAGCCTGCCTTGCTGTCAGAAACCCCAACATTGCTTTAACGTAAAAGAGAAAGCGATCTTGATTTTAAAGCAAGACCAGTATTCAGTCTTTGCTACCGTTCGCTAACGTTAACGTAGCTCAAATGCTAGCATGTTAAAACGACACCAAAGTACGTTTTTAAGCATAACTCAAATTGTGAAAGTCATTTTTGTGTCCACGGCTCCGTAGTTGCGAAATACGCTATTTCAATCAAATAAGGGTACTATTCGTTGAAAATGTATTGCTTATTTCACATGTATTCAACTAGTTTCGCAGCAGCTCCATACAAAGGGCCGCCATGTTGGAACGTAATCGCCAATTCTATGACAAATGCGATGATTGGCTGGTCGAGTACAGCCGTCCAATCACAACACGGTTTATTCATTCTCCACCCAACACATGACATCTTGCATAAACAACCCGGTGAGAGGGCAGACATCTAGCAGGGGACACCAAATACATCCCGAATAACTGTCGGGTTAATCCTGTGAAGATGAGCAGGATTGCTGGAGTCCTGCGGCGTACGTTTGGAATAGTGCGCGAGCACGTTGGGACAGATACCTCGGGGAATAATTATTACGTAATCCCAAAACAGAAGACATGGACAGGTAAATTACGCCAAGTTGTGCTAACATCAACCAGCCGTGGATTAATGTCAGTTACAATATTGATCCACCCCTGCAGAGAACTGAAGATAGTTTAAAACAAAGCAGCTGTAATACTTAATTTAGCCTTTTTCTGTCTAAGACCCTTGTTTTCACCATGATAAACTTAGCTTTTGTTAACTAGTGTGTTTTACATCGCTTGCTACGGATACTGTACTCTGATGATAGAATATTGATATTCCAGCGTTGTATTTTGTGTTGTGCATGTCACCCCTCTCTTCCTAACATGTGTTGTTGTGAATATGACTTTACCGTCACCCTTTCACTCTTGTTGTACAAAAAGCTCGCCGCTAGATGGAGCCACCGCCTCAATTGGAACATTCCTTTTGTAGCATTTTAATACGATTTTGTTAGTCTGCATTTAATGCAGCTCACTGCAGTTTTAACTCGTTTTAGGGAGTACAATGACGGCAGCTCCGCTGTCACTGGCCCTTCAGAGAGGAAAGAGTCCTCCACTGTTGCAGGCAAGATGATTACTTGTCTGCGGTGAGGATTGAGAAGGTCATATATCCCCAGTGAGACATGGCAGCGCTACAGTACATCGTGCTCAAGCCGAGCAGTAGAACTGTGTCATCAGGCTAATCCGTGGTGGGAGACGCCAGTGGCGTCCTTCACACCGCCTCTGACTGAGAGAAGGCCAAGGACACGCTCCATGGCCTCGTGGCCTCAACATCCCGGGCTCACTGTGCGTCCTCCTTCCAGTTGTCCTGTCTTTCTCACAGAGCGTCTAGTATAGGGAGATGGAGAAGTGTTGGCCTCAGCAAGTCTTGATTTGAGAATCACAGATCAAGGTGTTTACAGGAAGAAGATACTGATATATTACTGGTACACTACACACACTGACTGTTGCTTTTACCAAATGACAACAAAACACTTCTCGGAAATTGCTAGTGACTGTCTGTATGATATCCACACCTGCACATGAATTGTCAAGGGGGAATAAAGTGATGCACTAAATGTGCGTAAATGCTGTTGTTCTTAGTTTAACTCATTAGCAAAATCCAGGCTTATCCCACTTTTCCCTTCTGTTTACCACCTTAGATTATCAGCAGGGGTCCTAAACAGACAATAGGAATCATGTCAGGGGTCACAGGTCAAAGAGCGCAACCTTTGTCTTGCACCAGACGTCAGTTGACCAGCCATGGTTGCCTTTGGCTTATTAGTAACAAAGGGTTATGATATTTACCAGAATGATTATGCCTGTGCAGTGCTCACTATTCCAGACACTGAATTTGTCCAATATGGGAAAAACACTCCACCACAATAATCTGGGAATAATCATATCCCACCTAGCCATGCTTGTGTTTGTCTCCCTCTCATGGTGCCACGTTACACAACTTCGATAAAGCCTTTCTTTGACTAGCATGTTCTGAATAGTGCGAACATTCATCGGTACTTTTCTAAGAGGGTGAAACCAAGCTGTTTGTTTTTCCCTTTTGGTTTGCTGGAGAGGGACCGACCTCTGGCAGGATGCAAACCCGCTTTTATCTAACTTGACTTTGTGCTTCAACTTTTCTCAGCAGTTTGGACGGGGAAACTTGCGCCCACCTCGTATTTATAATTCAGTACAAGGCTGCTCCTCCACCCCTGGCTGTCAGACTATTCAAATGAAACATCACAGAAGCCCATTTTCTAGCACGCTACGGGCTACCGTATCCACCGCCCAATCACGGTGACTGACACTGTGGAGAGGCAAGTCGGCCCGTAGAAGGAAGAAAAAAAAAAAATGGCTTCCCAAACAAACACACTCGTAAACGCCAGACAGGCACATACGCATACGCACTCATATACGTTCATCATAAACAAATGGAAATATATGGCACACACATTGTACTCTTCTTTTTCTTTTCTTTTTTCTGCCACTCACCCCGTCCAGCCTTGTGGAAATAAAGCAGATGCATTATTCAGTCCATATGTCTTGCTAAAGCAGGTTCTTTTTGATCTTAAACTGATAGGCCATGCGTGGGCTCAGGGCCTTAAGGCATGGACCGCAGGGCTTTCCACTGCAGCACATGAGTAGTGGTTGAAGTAGGTGAGGAGTCTCTCTCTCTCTCTCTCTCTCTCTCTCTCTCTCTCTCTCTCTCTCT